AAGTTCTAAGATCTTAATTAATCAATAAAATTTACAAGCGTATAAGCAATTTAAAAAAAAAAAAAAAAAAAAAAAAAGTAGAATATGCAAAAATTAACTTTATTATGAATTAAATTTTGATTAGAGCTTGTATGAAATATAAATTTTCATATGGTCTTGTTTCTTAAGAATCATAAAAATAATTAAAATTTTAAAAATAATTTTTTTGTTAGTTCGGGTACTTTACATTTGGGATCGTCTTTCCGTGAATTTTTAATTTACAAAAAAAAATTTTTCCCATTGCTTATTAAACAAACCAAAAAATTTGATATTTAAATTTTAAATTCGAACCTCTAAATTATTGTAGCAAAAAAAAACGTATATAAATACTAATTTTACATTCCTATATCTTAATTCTTATTGTACAGCAAAATTTTTATTTTTTAAATATTCCTTTTTTGTAATCTCTCGTTTCTAGAAACAATAAACTAAAAAATATTATCTATGATAGTTAGGATGAGATTCTGAATTTTCACTTCTAGCTTATCCTAAACTTTAAAGTGATACTTACTTATTTCTTCACTATTTTCCTTTAGGTTTTTGTTGTGGATATTTCATAGTATGTTCATGTTTTAGTTCTTTAGCTTTTTTTTTAAATTTTAAACATTCTTCTGGCAATTCATTAGACCACATTTCACTGATTATTTTAGAAGCTTTGTCTTGGGTGATGTTAGGATATATCTTCATGACTTCTGGTAATTTTTCATTCCTATAAATAATGAAGCAATTAGAGGGCTGTGGGGGGTTTCTTGATCTTTGTTTTAGACTTTTTACGAACGCTTCTGTTAGCAGAATTAACATTGTAAGGAATAAAACGTAAAGGCATGATTGGCGCAAATTGGTTTTTTTCAAATTCCAAATAACTTGAATTAAACATGCTGTCGGATAATGCTGTATCGGTGTAATGGGAATGGGATCACGATTTGTATTGCAAGGTAAGCGATGTTTATTAAGCAGACTAAAGATTCATTTCTTTACAAAATACTTATTTATACTAATCCTAATAACTAACTTTACTATATTTTTAATGCACTTATCCTCGATTACTAATTACATTTTTAATGCGCATTAATTAATTAACATATGACGCACTGCTTACTTGATTATTCGAATCGTGATCATGTGATCACGGTGAGTATAATTAAACGAACGATAACGATATCACGAGATCATCGGTCACGATCGTTGGTCATGTGAAGTTCGATCAAGATCGTGACAATTGGTAGAAATAACGGGAAAACCATTTAGTTGATTTGCAGTAAATACCGGTTGTAAGGTCGGTGTAGAACCTGATACGTCACATGATAAAATAAATGGAGCATCAATATCATAAAACATGTTTGGGATATTTTCCTTGGGCACCCCATTGTTAGAATCTAAGATATGAACAATGTTTTTATTGATATTATAATTTGTTTTTCGGTTTTGTTCATATTTTGTCACAATTTCTAACAATGCAAAATGTTTGGGATTAGTACAGTACATAGCCCGAATCAAATTGAAATTTGGTGAATGTTCGAATTAATAATCAATCGTGATACCTTGACACAATTCTACAAGTCTTAAATTTTTATAGATGTCATAACTTTCTCCTTGGTTTTGTTCATACTCGGTCACTATTTCTAACAATGCAAAAGGTTTTGGGATTAGCATAATTTGAATCAAATTGAAGTTTGATGAATGTCTGAATTAATAATAAATAATAATACTTTGACATAATTCATCAAGTCCCCTTATGATACTAATATCCAGATAAACCATTTAGTTTGAAGGATATTTCTTTAAAGGATAGTATGAAGCTTTATTCTGCCAAGAGATGACTGAAAGATAATAAACTAAAGTTTTTTTTTGAAGATATTTATTTAGCGATGAAATTTAAATAACTCATATCAAAATATATGAATTGAACGATTTATTTTTAGTAACTGGTTTAATTCATTGTACAATGTTTAGACCAAAGTAAATAGCAAATTAAGTAATAGCATAGATTCGAGTATAATATATAAATATTGAAAACATTAAGAGGGCTTAATGATAGATTTTAAAATAGAAATCAATTACGATCTTGCCATACATGATGCTATCAAGCTATTTACTCTACTATTCTTATCAGATTTTTTGGCAGATTTTTCATGATTAAAAAGATCTAGTTTTATTAAATCTTATTTTGTAATATAGAGTCACGTGGTTTTGTGCGTATGGTCCGAAAATGATTTTAACAGGAGGAACTATTAATGTTACGACTATTTTAACCAGATGGAATATACCTGTATGTGTAACATCGACGGTTCCTCTTGCTAGTGGAACGTGTAATGATAGAGGTTTATGTAAAAAGGGAATTGAAGTTGAAAAGGATGAACATAAAAAGTTATTATTAGTAAGATACATTAAATTATTAAATTTTAATATAATATAACTTATACAGTATAACTTATTGCAATATTTTTTCGTAGAAATAAATTAATGAAGTACAAACAATACGCCCCATATAAAGTGTTATTTACACATAGGATAATGTTACATAACAGATATTGCAGTTCCCTTACATGGATTACGTTTTGCTATCTATTTATTTTTATTCTATTTATTCAATTTATTTTTTATTTTAATATTTTTTAAAAAAATTTTTCACTTCTTTATCATTTCTTATAATTTGTTTTAAATTTCTTTTTTGTTACAGTATAAATTTTTTTTTATTGATCAGTAAATGTATACTGATTTTAAATCGATATACTACTACTGTTATTTATTAATTTTATTTTGAATGTGTTAAATTTGTAGCTGAGTATTAAAACTTTTAAGATTATAAGTACCGTATTTGAATGTAATAATGCCGACCTGTGCTTTATTTTTGGTCACTGCACGTTATTTTGAAACATTGATACGCTTACTTTGAGCAAGTTACAATTTTTTTTATCAAAATCTCGTAACACATGGGTGCAGCAAATGAATTTTTTTTTACATTGAACCTATTGAACTTCCTATTTCAACAAGATCACACAACAGTCAATGTTTATTCCTTTTTATATATCGATGTCAGATTCATTTCGGAATTATATCAGATATTGCACAACATAGCGGTCTTTTACTATAATCGGCTGATTTTTATAGTTTGCCCTGTGACATGGCAAAAATATTATTGGTTAATCGAAATTTCTTGCAAAGCAAAATATTTTAACTAAATATTTGATATAGAACTCTATTGGCATGAACGGATGAATTACTACGAAATCTCACAACTCAAATTAAGAAATCATCTCAGTATAAACAGAATCTTTAATCCAAGATCTTATTTAAAAAAATACTAATGTATGAATTAAAAAAAAAACGTAAAACTTCCTCTAGAAGACAAAAAAAACAATTTTTAATTATATATAATAACACTAAGGATTTTAAACATAATTTTAAATTAATAATCTTAGACGTGACACTATGGTTTAATCTCCAGTAGATTTGCTTGATTTCTATTGACGGCTGCCTACATACTTTTTTACGCAAGAAATGAAAATTTCCTTCTCATGTTAGTTTTAATCTATTAGTTAGTAAGAGTTCTGAATCTTCGTGTCGTGTTCATGATTAGTTATAGTAAATATAAAAGACCATTCTTTTTCATGTAGGAATAACCTAATGATTCTTATTTATTTGTTGTTGATGTAAGGAATTTTTTAATCAATGTTTTTGAATAAGCTATTCAAGCTCATAAATATTGATCCAATTGTTGAAAAACATTTAACCAATTGACTAGTTAACAATTAATTAGCCAATTAGTTGGCTAATCGATTAATTATTTATAGTTATTGTATGAGTTAGTGAATAACCCATATAATAACTATCGTGCCAATAAAGTAAATGAAAAAGTTGTTTATTACCTTTTTCCTATATCTTTTTCAAAGAAAGATCGATATAATGAATTTTAATGATCTGATTCAATTATTGGTTGCATACCCAGGTAAGAATATAAAATAATTTTTATTTTAATTAACGTGACTTATATGATTAACGCGTTTAATTCTGAATAGCATGTTTAAAGCTTGCTTTAATTCAGGCTATATACACAAATTCTTTGTGACTGTCGCCCTGACAGGCCACTTCCATATACACAAACAAACAAGAAAACTTCTTCATGACTGTCACTCTATTTTAAAATCAGAATTATGACTGTCAACTATCTAAAAATTAGCTAAAAACAAATAACTGTTTTCACAACTGATCATCAAACAAAGATTTCTACGCTACTGCAAGGTCGTGTACGAGGGTTGAGTAGAGTAGGATGAAAAAACCAGACAAAGTAAGCATATTTTTATAGTTATAGACAATATATTTGTAAAATTTTAAGATATTTGTTTTATTCAATTTTTCATAAATAGAAATCATTTTTGGGTTTGGAATTTGTCCAGGTTTTGCTAATAAGTATAGGTATGGGTGTAGATCATTAATAGAACTTCATATTTGTCAGATGTATGTGGGTCATAATATGCAGCCTTTATCCTCTGACATATAGTTGTTAGACGAAACCTTTTTCACATGATGATGAAAGACGAATCCTAAACCCCCCAAAGATGAAACCCCAAATTCTTCTGACGAAAGACGAAACCTTAAACTTAAAATAACGAAACCTAACACTCAAAAAACCCTAGTGCTCCTGCAAAAAAAAAAAAAAAAAAAAAATACTGAAGAGAAAACAATCATTATTTTCTTTGAATTAACATTTATAATATTCAGAGATCAGTATCCAAAATTACATGTATGCCAGCAAAATAAACCATTTCATTTTTCTGGACAATGCTAGGGCTATTATTATAGTCCGGTTGAAATAGCCTTGTCAAAAAAACCATAGTACTCATGAAATAACAAAAGTAATGAAATAAAACATACTAGCACAAAATAAATTTGTAATA